CAGTTTTCAGAAGTTTCGTTTTGAATTCCGGCGTAGCGGGCCTCGCATGCACAGTTTGACGGCCTCAAAGCTTAGCAGAATTAAGGAACAATTATATATATATATATATATTAATTTACGATACTTACGATACCCAGTTTTTTACAACCCTACAATGGAAATACGCTTTATCTTAGAGGAGTAACGAGTCCCATATCACATGTTTTGGTAGTGTTTAAATACTGCCGTGTTGTAAGAGTGTTTTTCTTTGTCTTTTTTATTAGGCCGTCAAGGACAAGGGAACACCCCTGAACAACTGTTGGGGTTTTGTTGAACGCACAGCATGCCCATATGCCGTCCATCAAAAAATCAGAAGAGGACCACAAGAGAGGGCTCGTCGTGAAGCACCAGGCAGTGATGTGCGCAGACGGCATAATTTGACGGCTGGACGAAACCTACAAAGACCATGGACATTTTTTTGTTTGTTTAATATTAGAATGCATAAAATTGTCACAGAAGATCATATTCAAGCTTTTGTACTGAGCGAAATACCTGTCCAACTAGGCTGAAAGGCATCTAAAAATATTTTAATAGAAAACGTTTACTAACGACTCCCATTTTACTTTTCGGATGTGCGTGTGAATATTGCATCTAACCAAATTACAGTCTTACTGTTGAATTCAGCATTGTAAGAGTAGCCTATGTTGCGTGGCCTTCTATTGCAAGAAAAGACCGTAGCACAAGTGAGGCAGAAACTAGGGAAACGCACTTTCATAAAAACACAAAAGAAATAGAAAGAAGTGTATAGTCAAGCAAAATGGTTTCATGTCACCTCCCAAGGCAGATACATACACTGCGCTCCACTGTTAATACGAACACGAAAAAAAATCGCATTTATTTGCAGTTTATTTTTTTGACAGCTATTGAAAAAGCTGAAAATTTGTCACTCAGATTAGTGCCCCAAACGAGCGCTTTATTCCACACCAATAGGCAAATGTCAGCCCCTCGAATTTAAGGTGAAAAATGAAAACAGGATATTGAAGGCTCCCGCTAACAATGTCGCGCAGTGTACATAAAGACCAAGGCACTCATCACAAACCGAAGCATACGAAGAAGAAAAGACTCGTTTCATTGGGGAAAAAATAGTAGAGATATAAATAGAGCACTCGCTTTCGCTAATTTTCACTGTCTTGCTGCCTGAAGTAACCAAACAAAATATCTGTCCGTTTGCCGACTGCTTTAGTCTTTGGTCTTTAACCTTTAATTTTTGGCTCTGAAGAGCCGCGGCACCGCGGAAAGTAGCAGCCCGTACCACCGACGCCCGCGGTGCCGCGTCTAGGGAACATGGTAATGTGATGAGTATATACGTGCAAGATGACGACGACATGGGTTGTTGGTATTGGGGAGGGTGGCAGTCTGATTCACAGAAGCCCAGACTTCGTGGAGGCAGGTTGGGCGGGTGAGCAGCGAGCTATGAGGATCTTGCACGTCGTTCGATCAGTGCATGAAGGAGCACCAGGAACATAATGGCGCTATTGCTCACTGGGGTCCACTGGGGTCAAAGTATCATGCTCCAAGGGGTTAGTCTAGCCGAAGTAGAAGCTGCCGCCTCCGAGGAACCGAGGCCCAGGGATCAGATTGAGACACCGCCGTCGTCCGGTGTGTCATCCTCTCAACGTCGTCGTCGTCATCTGGCATAGAAAAATCGAGCCCGCTGGCTTAGACAAGGCAGCACCTGTTCCCACCGTTCAGGGGCCGTGAAAGGATTGCGGCCAGCGATTTCTCGAAGCAGCCAGAGGTTCTTGATCACCGTGAAACGTTTTCTGGGGGACGCCTTTTCAAACCAAGTGTGCGCAGCCATCTTAGTGCAGCGAGGTTCATAACGGTCAAGCGCGCTCCCAAGCATGATTTCAAATAGCGAGCACCCACCTTTCCAGAAAAACACCATCTACTGAACCTTTACTGAGAGTGGAACGTACTTCTTAAAATGGCGACGATAGCGGAGCTGACGCTACACGCTCAAATCCCAGAGCGGGTCGCGCATGCGCGATGGCGACTACGCTTTCCATAGAGCGGAGCGGGAAAGCGAAAACGGTCTACTAAAACTCTCTAATAAGCTCTAAGCGTTAAAGTTCGCCACTGCAATGGGAACACGGCACAGGCCACGCCCGTCGAGTGAATTATTGGAATTTTTCTGGATTTTTGGATAGTGACAGATGACTCATTTCATAATGATATATTTTACCAGTGAGATATGACTATTAACTTACCTGTCTTTAACGTGAACTACGGAGTAATGTTTACACCAGTGCAGCTATAGACTGCTTTGTAAATAACGTCGCAAATGATTTAAAGCGGCTATCCACAGCGCCACACACTTACCTGAAATACCTTCCGACAACGCCAGCAACGCGGTATGCGGAGTTATTGCACATAAAGTACTGTGCAAGTTTCCACAATTGCGACACGGATATGGATGAATATGAGCGTCACGGCACGGAGCTTGGGAGTTTCGGTACTGTGGAAGCCTATACAGTGACTCTAAGTGAAACTATTGATATGCCGTAATTTGTTGTAACTTTAGTCAGCGGGAAGATAGCCTGCCCCAAGCAGCGTCTGATGTCTCTGCTGTAGGTGACCACTTTAGCGGGTGTAATACGGCTCCTTTAAAGTGCATCACGCAGCAGTAGAAAGCCAGCGCCGCGCTGCGGTTGGCCAGCGGCAAGGCCAATCGCGGCGGCCGGCGATCTCGCCAACTTTCCCGCAAAGTGTCGAACTTAGAGCCCCAGCCCAGGTCGAAACGGGCAGAGGCGGGGGTCGAGCCCAGGATCTCTGGGTTCTGTAGAGCTGTACTGCGCTAGCGCGCTCTGCTACCGGACTCCATCAAGAGTAAACAAAGAGAACACCTCCTCCGAGCGCTGCTGACGGCAGCGCCGCGATCGAACTTTGCGGCCGTTATAGGCGAAGATTAGACCCGTTCCCCAGCAGGCGCACTAGGGTCGTCTCTTGGGCTGCTTTTGACGCACGCGTTTGGCAGCGGTGGCGTCAGTCCGGCTCGCCCCACTTTGCCAAGACGCGGCACGGCGTATTTTTAGCCGCCGAGAGACCACGGAGAGACCGGCCCGCAGAACCGAACCGCCAGGGATCTTCGAGCACGGTTGGCCTGACTTGGCTAACTGAATCCGTGATCGGTCACGTGGGCTCTTCTTTACGCTGCCTGCGGAGGTCAGCTTCCGCGATACAGCGTGGCGCTTCTGTCCAATAGGCCGTTCTTAAAATACGCAGCGCCTCCCCTCATCTTTTCGATGCACTACGGCATCCAATGTACGGCACATGAAAGAGCACCCTTGAATAGAAGGAGCGGTTCATGGTGGTTTAGCAATTAGCATTTTACGATTTCGGAACGCAAAGAAAGCAGGACGATAACAAACGAGGATACATAGCGGTTTCGTGAGGCGTTCGCTCCGTTTTCTTCTTGGTCTGAATTCGCAGGGGTAAGAGGCAAATAATTGCGACGCTTCCAGGGTGTACGACGGGCCGGCCCGAGCGCACATCGGAACTTCCCCACAACTTCCCGCGCCGCGCGGTGCAGTGTGGGGTCGACGGAAGGCCGCATGTAGGGAGCCTTCATGTGCGCTTTGCTAGGGTGATGCCACCCTTTGTAATACCACTCGCCGACAAACCAGCAGCCATTTTGTTCTTCGGCGATAATCCGTGGGGCTTATAACCCTCCCGGAAACAAGCACCTTATCTCAGAAGTTCGGAGCAGCGTTGTGGAACCCACGGAGGGAGGAATAGCATTTTCCCCCTCGGATGGGATTACCGATGGACACAAAGGCCACTTTCCGGCGCACGGGAAAACAATGAGAGAAACAAAATGGCGGTGGAAGAGGGTGTGGGAAAGGGAAACAGACAGTTGTCATCACTCTATGCGAAGCGCACATGAAGGCACTCTAGCCGCATGGCCTGAAAGGTATATCGTACCCTGCCATTGCACTTGGCCACCTTTGTCCGCAAGCATTTCTCTTTCCATTCCTAGTTCGAACTTACCCGTACTATGATCCCGGGGACGCTAGAATTCGGTAATCTTGTACAACAAAGGTTACGTAGCAGGCACGCATCCACTTTGCTGGGGCTTCCTCCCCCCGAAACAAAATCCTGTTTTACGTGCGGGGTCTATAATCTTACCTGTGAACATCATGAGAACATGTCAATGTCTCAAAGCCGCACGTGGATGTTTACGAGACCGTACCTGGGTAAAACAAATCGCTCGCAATGAAAATGCTGTTTTTTTTTTGTTTTTTTTTTTCTTTCCTGACGAATTTCTATGCGGAGCGCGAGTTTGTCTGCTTCCTGAGCAGGGGTTGTGGTGCTGATTGGTTCCGATTGGAAGGACAGCGGGTAGACCTCAAGGCAGCTAGCACCTGAGGTCTACCCACTATCCCTCCATCAGATCCAAGTAGAGCTCAGCGTTTTGACGTGAGTGCAAGCCCTGCACAAGAAACAGACGAACTTGCGCTCCACATTGCCCTGACAAAAAGTTCTGTGAACATCTGAAGAGTGCCCAAATATCCCATGATGTCCCTGTAGACTTCAGGTGCACTGTATCTTTCACGTCCGGGTGGAAAGTCTGCTGCAGTGCTCAGTACACCCGTGAGCGATACGAAGGTGAACAGCCCTCTTCTTGTTTTTGACGCTCCTGCAAGTTTTGGAACAAGCTGTTCCACAAGAGGGCTAGAACGCAAAGTTTAGACCCCTGGCCACGTACCATTTGAGATGTTGAGAGTTAATACAGCTTTAGGGAGCCGTAAAACAGGCACGAAACCAGGTAAGGTGTTCACCTTCATATTGCCGGCGGGAGTACAGCTCAGTGATGCATGCTACTTCTCCTGACGCGAATCTGGTTCCGCTACGGTGGCGCTGCGGTAGGCAGGACGCACTTTGCTAGCGCAGGTCGGCAGACGCACGTGGATCGATCCAGTCGTGGTGCCAGACAGTGGGAATAAGACACGACACCAGGCTCTTTTTGTCAAGTCCGCAGTTTATTGTCGGCGGAAACAAGTCATCCTCCCGGATGTTTCTTTTTTATGTTTCGTTTTATTCTCTTTTCATCAAACAGTAACAATATGGCAAAATGTCTCGGTACGGTGTGTGTTCTGCACCCGACACTCGCGAACCGTTCGCTTCGCGTGTGTGATGATGAGAGGGGGTAGAAGAGAGCGAGAGGTCTGACTGTCGTTTCACATATTTATATATATTACACTTTGTAACATCTCGACGCTTCGCTTTAAATATATTTCATATATATTTATAATGTATGATGAATGTATATATATAATATATATATAAATCTCTCGTTAAAATTCTTGCTCGCGCTTTATTCTTTCGTACTCTGACGTTGGCCGCTTTGCATAAGTGTGGCGATTCTATGCAAAATTAAGGAGGTAAAACAAGTCATCAACAAAAAAGGCCGAGCTGTATGTACGGAAACGCGTTCAAGTACAGTCACGGACGAAATAAACTGGAACATTAGCGCCATCCGGCGACTGCAAGTATAGACTAAGAGCGGGGAAAAGACGTGAGCAGGTGCACCAAGTCCTCAGGGAGCTTCTGCTACTCGTGTGCTCGAGCGACTGAAGTACCGGTTGAGACAACCTGCACGCTCATACCTTCCTCAGTGATGCGTAAAACACTAGTCTCGGATGTATGAGTATTGTGGACTCGTAAGAAAGACTTGAGTCGCACACATACCTAGTTTTTTTTATCGTCGTCAACCAACACGAAGCACCAGATGACCGGTGGCCCGACAGACCGTAGTACACTCGCATCCCGGTCACGCCTAATAGCCGCTATTTTGTCACGCCTATTTGCAACGCATGGCGTTACAAGTGGCTCTGGCCGGCACCTGAGTTAGACAACAAGGCCGAAGATCTGGATTTGCCACGTCACCAACAAAGAGGGCCGGGGCAGATGGACAGCGTGACATCAGCGTTCGGCTAGGATTCGGGTCGTCACTGATTGAGCACGAGTGCTGATGTAGCACTCGTATCCAGTCAGTGTCCCGCGCTGGCCCTTTTGTAGACGACGTTGCGAATTGGGCGCTACGGCCTTGCCATCCAAGGGGTGCTGCAGGCGCACGGCGCGCCGAAAGGGTATCGTGAGAAAACATGTTACGTCTAGAAGGCGTGGGAGGACTAGCGGTACTGTTTTTGTTTTCCTTTTTGTCCGTGGTTGTACACCAGTGTAGCGATGTAGTGTTGAACGGTCGAGCTTCAAGCCCTGTGCGGTTTGAATGTTTGGTCATGTTCTGGGGACTAGGTGGCAGGTATCGCCGCTATCCACCCACAATCCTGCGGACCTTTCCCTCATATCGCCCCCCCCCCCCCCCCCAAAAAAAAAAAAAAAAAAAGCACACACTGGATACCGAATTTGCAGTGAGCAACCGCGAGATGACGCCGCTCAACTTCCAACCTATCTCTTTTAATAAACCGATCTTGGTGTCACTGGCGTCTTGCAAATCAAGGAAAAAAAAAAAAACAAAAAAAAACATTAAGCTTAAAACTAACGGAAATGATTCCTATACCTTTATGGACTTAATCCAAGAACACCACCAATTAGATCTGCCGCTAGCCGGCGTAGGTTACCACCCCCCGTCAGAGGGAGAAAAGAAGCAGTGATCCATTCATCAAGCTTTTGTCGAGACTGGTCTGATTGGACAAGCGAGCGAGTTCTGATACCGTTTGATCAGATATAATATTTTTTTTCTTATTGTGCAAAAAGATTGAGGAGCACCAAGATATTTTAAAAGGGATATAAAAGCAAGCTGGTCTTTCTTTCTCTACGTGATTTTATGAGTTATACGGTCGATTTTCCCTGCTACATGGCTGGATAGCTTCCTCAATCCAAGTTCATCTCGTACGCCATTTTGTTTTTTAAGTAGTCTCTGGCCGGTGATTTTAAAAGCAAACAATATCAATAGCAAGACAATTTACTTCTCTATTCGTCCAATCTCCAAATAAAATTTAAAAAAAAATTAGGGAGAAAATATAAGGACCTATAAACGCCTTACTTAATTTGTGATTCTGATATGCTCACTGGACAAACCATGAAATTTTGTTTTTCTTTTCTTTTCAATAGGGACCATGTAGTTTGAAACCTACCGCTGTTCTGTCTGACTTCAATGCAGTACGTACGACTCTAGGATGACATGCGTATGAAAAGGCACTTCATATTTGTTTTTGTATGTGTGTGTGTGTGTGTGATGCAAGGCGGCCCTCTGCATGGAAAGAAAAAGCGCCAGCTTAGCGACATAGACCGACCCGTTCAAAGCGCACACAACGTACGGAAAAATGGCTGAACATCGTTTCTCATATCTTCTTTTTTTTTTACTTCTTTGTCGCGCATTTCTCTTTCTCGTTCTAATTGAACGTTGATTTCCTAAGAGGGAGAGAGAGAAAGGAATAGAGAGAGAAGGGGACAAAGAGATTTCACGTCCCGTTGGCAAGTGCTGAAAGAATCGGGGCATTATATTTAGGCCGTAGACTTCCAGGTTTTAGCCGGAGAACACCGATAAACGTCAGCCGATGTAAAAACATACGAAATCGGTTAAAACTGAAAAAAAAAGAAAAAAATGATTTCTTGAAATGCTTGTTTCAGCTAAGATTGTTTTTGTCGAAACGCTCCCTCTCTGCTTAGACTTGAACTTTTACTTTTTTAGAAGATTTCTTTTCTCTGATAATCACCGTTTATAGCGTTCGTCCAAAACAGATCGCTGAAGCCATATTAAAATAATAATAATGAACACCGAAAATGATCCGCCGATTTCCCATGGAAATAAATACCGGAAAATCTACGGCCCAACTGTAACGTTTTTTATTGCTCCGTGATCTGCTAGAGGCGGCAAAAAGAGCGAAAAAGAGTGATATTTCCTCAATTTACGCGTATTTTCTCAACGTTTGGCATCGTTATTGCCACACAGATTATTGCTGCTGCTTGTTAATAAGCTTGGCTTGTTTTTTTTTTTTTTTTTGTAGCTGCGAATTACGGACATTATTAGTAAGAGAAGCTAAAATTCCCCTCCCGTGATGATTGAGACCAGTCGATCCGCAGATCGAGTGACTGACTGATTGGTTTCCACGCCGATCTTTCCCCCTCACCCGTGCACATTGGCCATGCCAAATACTTTACTAGGGGAATGCATCTCACTCCACGACAATCCAAAGGCCTTGGCGCGGACAGACTTTGCGTAGTTGGAACGGTTGGATGCGCCGCATGCCTCGAGGTTTCTCCCCTTTGAATCAGGATGGGTGCCTGCCGCCATCTACCGTCGTGGGCATCTCGAGCGCCGGTCGAGACAGCCGTCTTTTTTGTCTCGTCGAGCCCGGTATCTCGGCACGCCAGTGGCCAACCTCTCCCTCGGCGCCGCGCGATGCCCACACCGCTAGGGGACGACTTGGCGCCGTAGGAGCGCTGTCTAACAATGCAAATGAGCGGAGTAGAATGTGACCCCCCTAGTAAAGCATTCGGCTATGTTGTGATCAATCTGCCAGCGTAGCAAGCCAAAAGCTGCAAAGGGCACGCTTTGATTTGAGCACGCACGATATCGCATGAATCGAGGTATATCTTTTTGTAATATATATATATATGTATATATATTCCATCTTGAGATCAATGACATCCCTCGCGTAATATTATTTCTTCTTTCCCAGTGGGCCATTTGAGCTGTCTGCTATGTCTTGAGTCGAACGCGGACGCGCGTCTGAATACGTAATTATGCGAGTTCTTATGTACAAAGCGAACCCGGGCAGGGACGCTGTCAAGAAAAACAAAATATATACATGTACAGAAATAATACTTTTTCGTTTTGTTTCTTGCACGAAATTGCGCAAGGCGGCAAGAACGGAGAATGTGTGAACTATGTACACCGCCAAACATGACCGCGCGGAATGCCGCCGCTAGTGGCGCCGCAGTCGCGTCGGATGCCATCTAGTGAGTGGTCCATGATCCGGCGTACAGGTCCAATGCGGGACAAATCTGACCTTCACCGAATAATCGTTGGCTGTTTGAGCTTCATAGAAGCAGTTTGCTTCTTTTATTTTTAGAAATTTAGTGGATCGTTTTGTCTTTCTGCGAATGAAGGGAAACTACATTTTGGTGGTGGCACCGCCGCGACAGGACGCGGCGCTGGGATCGCTAGCGCGGCATTTCGACAAGCGATTGCGGCTTCTTTGGCAAGACACGCGTTTTGCTGCTAGACACTGATCTCCCTGTAGACTAACCTCGTACCTACGGGCAAGAGGACAAAACGGCGGTCGTAGGCAGACTCTGATCACACACGCCGTGAAGCAAGCGACCTCAGCAAGCGTCTCAGAGGCGGCCCACGACACCCGCGTGCTCGCAGGAACGACCTTGGTCTACAGAACGGTATTTCTACGTAGAGATGAGTGGCTCTTAGATGAAGTCATGGAGGACGTAGGGGGTGTCTATGTACAAGAGCGGGGTCTCAAGGACCCTCAGGACATGACGGTGGCCACGTGGTCTTCCCCGATGCCCTTGTAGCAGAAGTTGACCTGCTGGCCCGAGGACGCGACAAGCTGGCAGGAAGCGGCGGCCGATGACGCGGCCATGGTGGTCACCACACAGTCCGATTGCGACGACGCGGCCAAGGAGCGCATCAAGTCCTCGGCGGTCACGGGGGCCAACTTGACACTCGGCGGAGAGAGCGGAGTAAGGAGATCGAAGTCGTACAGGGACAGGTCGATGTCTCCGAAGATCTCGTCGCTACTGCTGCCGCTACTGTTGCTCGACGACGACTGGGACGAAGATGACGTCACCACGCCGCCGTTGCTGTGATGCTGGTGCTGCTGCTGCTGGTGGTGGTGGCCGTTGTGCGCCGGAAGTAGGGTGTACAGTGGCGCCGCCGACGGCGCGGGACCGCAGGCAGGGTCCACCCCGCAGCCCTGGGGAGGGGGGGTCGTGGGGCAGGTTCGGAGTCGGTGGGGACTGCTGCGCCGTCGGGCCCGAGCCGAAGTTGAGCACCGAGCTCCAGTTGAGGCTGGGCAGCCGGTCTTCGTCCGTCCACAAGGGCGCCAGCTCGGTGGCCGGGCTCGTCATCGAAGACGAGCGAACGAAGGGTGTGAGGCGTCCTCCGCCGTCGCCTCCGGAAGGCGGACACCGGTCGTAACAGTCGTCCGCGTAGTGGGACGCGTGGCACTGCGACCCGTAGTGGTGATGGTGGTGGTGATGCGCCGCCAGGTGGGCCGGGGGAGGGTCCGGGCCCCGCGGGGGCGGCCCCAGGTCCCGCTCCAGGGCTCGCAGCGTGTTGCAGACGAGCACGGACCGGAGGAGGCTCGGGTCGGCGGCCTGGCGGAAGCGGCTCAGCTTGCACAGGCTCATGTTGAAGACGACGTGGCGGCGCCGCGAGTAGGAGCGCAGGTCGTCCACGGAGGACGTGGACGTCGAGCTGGCGCCCGACGAACACGAACTGGACGAGCTGGAGTCCTCCTCCTCGTCGTCCTCCTCCTCTTCGTCGCCCTGCTCCAGGTCGTCGCAGAGGTCGTCCAGGCAGCGGGCCTTCCGCTTGACGCCGCGCGGATGGGCCTCCGGGAACATGGCGCTCACATGGAAAGGGGGCGCAACGGCTGCACTCTGCAAAGAAGACAGAAGATGCCGCGGTCAGGAGCAAGTTGGGAACAGCATACAAAACATCGAGGCAATTCGGCTTATACTGGAATCATCGAGCAGCAGAACTTTATACTAGGAACACCGAGGCAACAAAACCTTGCAGTGGAATCATCAAAGGAACAAAACCTTAGAGGGGAAACATCATAACCGCAAACTAGAAACAGAACTCTATCCTGGGAACATCGTAGCAACATAACTCTATAATAGAAGCATCGAGGCAGCAGAACCTTATACTGGAAATTTTGGTCGTTTGAAGGTGCAACGGATTCCTAAGCACCGAGAACGTGCAGCAAATGCCTGGCCTTCTAAAGCCAGGCGCACAGGGCACTGCGACCCTGTGTGCCTGGATCAACCCCTCCAAAGTACGAATAAAGTATTATTAATATTATTATTGGAAATGTTCTAGCTCGGAGCAGCCCTAAATCTGTCACTTCCGGTGTACGCCTCCGATGATTCGACTTTGGGCCCGAGACATATATAGTGACCAAGTGTTCACAACGTGACATTCGTAATTCACTACACATCGATGCTCCAACCGGTCTTGCTTCGGTAATCACCACAGTGACAAAGGCGGCCGACTCGGCCGCCTTTCTAGAAAAGCTAGAGGTTTCCAGAAACAGCATCGAGTACACACGCGTCCATTCGCTAACACAGAAACGACCATGTTGGTGTAATCAGAGATGACACCAACCAACAGGATTGTTCGGGGGAAGGGAGGGGGGGTGTCGGCGCCGCAACTTGCCCGTTTCGTATTATCCAGGCTAAAACCAAAGGTTCGCCAACAACTGTCCACCTAGCGTGAAAGCCCTCGCTCACACTGTAGAAACGCGGGTTGTGGCGAGCACTCCCAAGCATCTCATTACCGCTTCGCGAGTCAATCAGATGGCGGCATTGGTCGTCGATAAGGACGAAGGACCAATCCCATTAGGACACGCCCCATGCGTTCCTGAAGCTGTCCCACTACAGCCAGCAATTATAAATTGACGCCCAAAATTTCGTTAATAGAGGGATTTGACTACGCTTACGCCTAGCAATCGTAAACACCGATTTCGGCCCGCCAACCAAATTAAAATCAGATTCGTGGCGACTGAAGCAATCTTTCACAACACAGCTTATTCACACAATACTTTTTTTTTGCGGGTTTTAGGCTAGGTTTTTAGGTTAAAGACCGACGATTAGTTCTAACTTTCCACTTTTCCCTCGCTTTCTCCTCTCCCTCCTTCTACCTTGTCCACCGTTGCCTGTTTCCTCCTCCGCCCCCATGGTGAGGTGGATCTTCTGCCTTGCAGAATCTCGAGTCTGATCGTCGGCCTTTAAATGAAGCCACCAAAAGCGTAACCGCGAGTTGTGGGGTTAGCATCAACAACTCCACTAACCCTAACGAACTCTAAAACTAACTCTTGCTTCAGCGCTAGTGGTTTAGCCCTACTAGCGCTAAACCAAGAATGTTTCACGTAGCAAGACAACTGCGGGGCAATTTGTGATAAATTTGTTTTTGGTGACCAGTTTTACGAAGCTCGAACTTAAAACAAGGCTGCCGACGATGTTCAAGTGATGTTCACGCGGAAGCTTATTCGTATTTAAAGACGCACAAAAAGAAGTAGAGCGAAGCGACGCGTTCTTTCCGTCTACGTTCCGTCTTTTGCGCAGTACGCCTTTTAATGAAGCGATGGGTCTGCGGCAGAAGAGTGTGTTGTTTGTTTCTGTTCATCGAGGGGGACGACGACCGCGTGGATTCGAAGAAACGCTCCCGTCGGAACTTCCTCGCAGAGCTACTCGGAGAACCTTGCCCCGGTAGCATGCAAGGCGTCAAAACTTCCGCGTATAGCGTCAGCTTTTGTTATCGATTGTACGCTGCGGGCCCGTGCACTCGGGGATTTTGGTGCACACCATGCACGAACTTATCTGTGACGTCACTTCGCGGCGGTGGAGCTGTTTGCGCGTGCAAGTGAGCGCTCAGATTTACCGCACTAACCGCTCATTCACACTGGAAGCGGATCCGCGTTCGCAAAGCGGTTGCGAACGCGGTTGTATAAAGATTCAGTACAATTGCACGAGCACTCGATGACATCAAGTGCGCGTGCAATTGCACTGAATCTTTATACAACCGCGTTCGCGACCGCTTTGCGAACGCGGATCCGCTTCCAGTGTGAATGAACGGTTAAGCTGCGAGCATCGGGTGCTTTTGGATCGCTCCAACTGCACCGAGGATAATTCCTCATAATGTAGTAGTTTTCGATGACGCTCTGCGAGTTTCTAATTGGAAACATGTTTCTTTTTAATTCGTTAAGAAGATAATGAAGACATTTTATTTAATTTTCTATTTATCGCGACGATTAGCCCACTTCGTATGTCCCCCTGACCATACCACCGTATACCTGCACAGATCACATTAATGTACCTTACACTGCTTTTTTTTTTCCTTTTTTTGCAAGAGATTTATTTGAATTGAGATCAAACACCCGGTATAAAACGTCTACTTGAAAGGAAAACCGCGACTTCAAAGCAGATATCGCGGGGGCCCTTTTCAAAAGCGGAATCATCTGTAGGGTGTATTCATGTGGCTATCAGCACGAGTTGTGGGTTATGTCACTTATCGTCGTCTGTCAGGGGCAACAGCTTTGAGGGTCCGAGATTAATCACTTCGAAACTCGCTTTCCACTCCTACTCGAGAGCAACGCAGCACCGTGGCGGTCAGCGCGCTTGCATAACTTTGCGTCGATGCTCACGGTCCAGAAGAGCTTCCGACAACTAGCGACGTCCGCGCATTTCGTGCGTGCTTCCCTCGCATGCGAAGACAGGACAACACCGAAAACGTAAAAATAAAAATAAAATTACAATATCGTTTGCATTGAATTTAAATAAAGTCCTAAAATTCTAAGAGTCCATGGTGTCACGATGATAGAGACGTTTGTGGATCGAGCGCTACGGATTGCGTGCTCTGCGGGCACGCACTCGGGCCGTGCTCGAAGTGACGGCACAAGCTACCGCTAGGAACGCGAAGCTCTTACCTACGAAAAGTCCCTAATATGATAAAAATTCGCTGTCTGCACGAGCTTGACGGTAACCTTTATAGCGGCAATCTTTGCTGATAGGTGGTAAGCAACATTCCGGCTTGACTGGCGCTACGGCTGCACAAGCGTCGCGGTCAGTCTTATTTTAACGTGGGATGAGGCGTAACTCTTATCGCCTATCGGGGTCTGCTTAGACAGCGGGGCAGGGGGCAGCGAACGACGGGGCTTGGGCTCGTGGCAGTGCATTCCGTAGAGCACGGTGGCCGAGAGTGAAAATGGCGGCGAGCCCAAGCTTTCCAGCAGGCGGCAAACAAGGAGAAGGACAACGGAGCAGCGGTATCGAGGTACCCTGAATAAGAGGGACAATCGGCTTCGCCCCCATCCCGAGCCCCCGCCTCGTCGCCGTACCCTCCGCCGAGGCAGCGAGCAAAACCAGAAACTAGGAAGTGATGCCGCTCTTGCGAGACGGTCGACCGGTGGAGAGGAACCGCCAGTCCACCACGATAGATGGCGCCACCCGTCCCACCCTAGGGGAGCTGCCTTTCTTTTTTCTCTCTCAAATCCGCATCCGGAGTCTCTTTTCGGCATCGGAGGAGATGAAATGCGGCCAGGGATGGGGGTGCGAAGTTTTGTCGGACCCGATCCGAACCCGAACTTTTGGCGAACCCGTCGAACGCGAAGCGACACCTGTGGGTTCGATTGGTTCCCGGAACCAATGTTGTCTTCTAACTTCTCTCGCTTTCTCTCACAACACACATACACACACAAAAAAGGAAAGTAATAGAAAAGCGTATAGTTTGCATTAAATTTGTTGAAACGGTTACCAATTTTTACGTAAAATAAAACAACATAATGTATTGATGCTTTCATTAGTTTGTCCTGCGTGACCTCGTAATGAGCACGGTGGAAGCTTAAAATCATTGCGCTCTGAAACCAACACTGCCAACACCGTCAAAATTTAAAGTTCTTAGATTCCTCTTATTCCCGTCGATGAGAAATCCTTTTCTGACGTCACAGTCAGCATTCGGCCAATCGTGGAAGGCCGACTACAGCGACGCTTTCGCCAAGACACGAGTGAGAGCGCCACGAGCTCGTGGCTTTCCCCCGGTGCTCTCACTCACTGCACGAGCAGTCGCGCATAAGAACCAACTTTCCGAGGTTCATCTTCATCAGCTCGAGCAGACAGCCTTTCTTTCCTGCCGGGGGCGCAGGGGCGCTAATATAGCGCCCCCGATCATTGAGACAATGCCGACCTTAGTAGATGATGATCCATTTTCTCCGTTTGCGCGTTTCGGGCTGCGATTTGGGAAGTTTGGGCAGGCTGAGATGCGCAAACATTGAAGCCGCCCACAAAACAATTGTCAGCAAAACTACCTTTCCTTTTTTTTTTTTTTTTTTTTATTCTGAACCTACTTTAATTACACCCGTTTTCACCTGAAGTTAAAAGGAAGTTTTGCTCAATGTTCATACGCTCAGCGAAGTAGCTCTAACGATATTTGGTTGTCAGATGAAAAAGCGATGCTTTAGGCGTTTGAAACGAGTACGTCTTGATAAGGTAGCCTATATCTAATCTAAAATGCACCTATACATATATCTCAATCCTCAGCATAAAGAGGAAAATTAGTAATGCTCCACAAGAAGCCGTACTTTATTTCTTTTTTACTACGGTCTTTGAGGTGAAAACGAGTATAGAGTATTTCAATGCTTTGTTGCTTCTTTATTTCGTTTAACAGTGCCACTGTTTCTATAACCGATGCCGACAGCGCTCACTCACGGGGGAAAATACGAAGAGCGGGAAAACAACATTCCGCCGTATAACAGGTGCGCAGGTTAAAACCGAAATCTTGAGACAATAAACCCCCCGCCGAACGCTTAAAAAAAAAAAAAAACAGCTAAAAGCTAAAAGCCGCGGTGCAATGTGGTTTGATGTCACCGTCCATTCGTGACTTG